TAAACCAAAAAAAGTGGCCAGCTGACTTCCCACTTAATTCTTATGCCTTACTTTCCGATCTTCATGAGGCATTCCATGATTTGGTTGGCTGCCTGGTTTATGCTGTTTGATCGAATTTTAAAGAATTGTTTACATGCATTTCTTCTGTCTTCTTATCATCATTACGCCTGGTATACTTTCAGTTATAATACTTTCACTTAAATCATCCAGTAGATTTATTTTTTTGACTGTCACTTCACAAACTTAAATATTTCCTTAGGTTATCATAAAATTTAATAAAGTTACAGCTGACTTGGAAGATTTGCGTTTCCGTAGCCTAGTATAATATATCCTCCCTTTGATTCACTTTTTCCACACTAATTCGACAACATCTTTACAGACAGTCTGATCAGTTTGTTGGCACCAATTTTACTAGTGGCACTACAGTTGCTGCTGCCATCGGAGACGGCGCCGTCCTTAATTTGAATAAGACTGCTGTAATTACTACCATCACCACCGCCACCACTACTTCAAGTTGTGTGACCACACCTGTCTCTAGTTTAACGCCGACCGCTGTTGCAAGTGGTGTTTGCAGCCTTGGACAAGGCCTGAGCGGTCGTGCGAGTAGCATCGACTTTATGCGACGCGTCGAACCTCCCTCGTCTTGTCTGGCTGGCATTGAGACTCTTCTACCTTCACCTCCTAGTCCAGTGCCTCTGCCTTCGCCTCGAAAGGTGCCTAATTCCACTTCACCCATAGTAGGCACATCAGCTCGCCAAAATGCTGTCTACTCTGCTAAAGCCACGGTCACAACTCAGGTTCCCACCGAAATAATTGATCTACCCAATTGGCCCAGCGGGGAGGTAAAGCATACGCAACGAAAAAACCGGGAGTCGACCCGGTTGCTGAAAGGGGAAATGGCAACAACTTCCAGCTGTCGCCCACTTGGTCAGACTGAGGTGGTGGTGCCGGAGGCAAACGAAGTTCTATCCAGACGACGTCGAGGGTCAGGGGATGCTATAGCTAATACTGTTGCACCATCAATAAAGTCTGAACACTCTACCGGAACAGGTAGTTTTTTCTGACTAACGGTTGCCATTTGCTTAGCTTTTAATCTTCGATTTTAATTTGTTTTGTATTTTGACTTACATTGTGCTTTATTCACAATAAAGGAGCATAAGTGTGTTTATAGTGTTGTTGTGACTCATAATATTGACATCCTTCTTGCGTTCCACTCTTAAAGATAGAGTCGCTAATGAATTTAAACTTTCCTCGAGCCCCTTTTCTACATAAATAGTATTAAATAGTTCTAAAATGATGTGATGTGAAAATTAACTTGATTTAGACCTATAATTGCTTATCGTTTATCAGTATAAAGTAAGCTCTAGGGAGCTAAAGACACCTTAATTGCGATAAGTATTGTTAGCTTTAGCTAGGAACTCAATGAAGCGTTAATTTGTATTTTGCCTATTACTTTTTCTTATGAATCACGCTAAGGTTATTTATGACACTATATGTCATTCTTAGATTACGAACAAGAAAATCCCTGCATAAAGTATCACTTTATTTCTAAATAAAATTATTATGTAACCAGCTTGAAATTTTAGGACTCTTTCTTGTGCACAAAAAGATTTTGTTATATATTAAGTTATTAAATTTCACCAACTTTCTTGTTATAAAGCGAAACTGAGGTCAGGCAGCTGTGATCGTGGAGGAGGAACTACCAGGCGAGAGAGCCTTAATTCGCCACTGTCGCAAGCACACAGGCGGCACTATTCTACCAAAGATGTAGCCATATATGCGGGTAAACCGCAGCTTATGGCCAACTGTACTCGCGCTTCGGCTGATAATATATCCTCCCCATATAATAGAAAGATCGCGACCATATTCACCCATACACAGAGTAGTGTTTCTAACGAACAACAGGTGACGCCGTCGAAGCCACGAAATTCGAATAAGATCAACCTTTCTATGAATGCCGGATTTTCCTCTGGAAATGAACAGTTAAAGCCTAGGAATTCAATGAGGAATATGGCTCGGGTGAGTAATCTAATGAAGATAGCTTAAATCCGGCTTATTGTTTTTGTTAATTCTTTTTACTATGCACAGTAGGATACTCCATTGCTCTCTTAATTATATTATCTCCGTTACTGATGCAATTCGTTAACCTTTTTATTTCAGAATTTGTTACGCTTTCGTGTTCTCGTTTTTGTGCTTCTGTTATCTGTTATTTGACTTGAAAATTAATTTTCTGTGACTGTGAAGGCGTTATGAAACTTTTTAATATTTGATCTAGGGTGTGAAGACCATGATGTTGCGATATATTGATATTTGGATTTTCTCCACCGCTTGATAGATATCGTAAATTGAAGTTCCAGTTAACAGGGAGTTGGAATTCACCATTTGCATGAATATCTCTAGTTGTGACGCTATATGCTGAAAGTTATTGCCAATTAATAAGTTGAGGTTCACTTCTTTACCTAAATTGTTGAGCTTACCTTGATTTTGAGTGGAAGTGTTGGGTGAAGAGATTCGAAAGTCGGTTCCACCAGAAGACGACGG